GCCGCTACGAAGATTCGACAGGACGTCTTAAAGCTGTGCACGAGCGCCAAGTTGAGGGCAAGAAACTGCGCTCGACGTGGAGTCGCATGGGTCTAGATGACGAGGGTAAGCACGAGGCCATGTGCTCAGGTGGAACGCAGGACGAGTTCGAGGCATTGTGGCAGGAGACACCGTTTGGTGAAGCCCAAAAGAAGACTATCAAGCAGGAGCAACAGCAGCAGCTTGAGCAAGTGAAGCACACTTTGAAATCAGAGATGAGATCCGATAAACAGACCAAAACCATGGATATGTAAAGTGTGAACCGGAATTGTTGACTACCTTTAATTATTGCTGCTGTCATGCTCGTAATATTTCCATTTACAAATTATCACAGCATGTTGCATTCCAGAATTAGGTGTTCTTTTTTTCAGATTTCGATATGGTAATACAGCATGGTAGCACCTCATCTTCTGCTACAGCATATTTTGAATAGATAAGCGATTGGTCGCTTCTCCTACCTTTAGTTAAACTCCTGAAATATGGAAATCGAATATATTATCGTAGTATGATTTATTTTCGAACGTAAAATATTCTCTATTTATGCATTTAATCCATGATTATGCTCAGTTGACGTACTAACATATACTTTAACGCAACGAAATACTTGAACATATACACTCAAAAGTGCGACTCGCAGTCCTTGCTTTTCGTTTTGTCTATTGAAACGATCAGAGCAGGCATAGGAGGTGCCTCGGTGGTTGATGTCTCAGTGACAGCTGCTTCAGTGACAGGTGCCTCGGTGACGGGTGCATTCGTGACCGAACGTTCCACAACGTCTTTTGGCGCGGAAGTCTCCTCATTCTGCACCTGCTCAATTGTTTGCGTAGAATCTTGAGTCGTCATCGTATCGTCGCATGCCTCTGCATCCCCCGAGGCAAAATCTTGTGTCCAGTAATAATGGTACTTGCCCTCCGCGCTAAATGCATACGCAGAGGCAAACATTGTGTAATCACCCATGATGTTTTCCAAATGCCCTGGAGAATTAATCCATGCCTCCATTACGGCGGCCACATCCTCCTGTCCAGCAGCTACGTTTTCAGCCACAGCATTCCAGTCGTAACCGGCGTCTGTAATACGGTCCGACAAGGCTGAACCGTCTGTTCCAGTGTGGTCCATGTAGTCATTAGCAGCCATGTCGTCCGAATGACGCTGAGCAGCGTCATGTAATTTCTTGTTAAGACACAGCGGTGACAAACCCTGTGTTGCACGTTGTTTGTTCACGGCATTTAGCATGATCATAGCATAGTCTTCATAGGCTGTATAAGTATTGGTAGCAAGGTGACGCTGACGAAGGTTACTAGCTCCAATAAAAGGATTGGAAGTTGCTGATGCAATGAGCAATAAAGCGAGGGAAGACTGAGTAATGGTCAACATGGTTTCTTGAGATTTGATTAGCTGATGAGATGGAAAAATGAAAAGTGGGTTGATGACGAGCTTTCAAGACCGACGAGTAGAGCAGCTTTTAATATCGCCCCTGTGAGTTATCTACTCCATACTACAGCAAGAGATGACATTCCGTCTGGCGCGGAGTTTGTGGTCTCTAGCACTGATGCCACGTCATGTGGTATTCCATGTCTGGCGTTTACAACAGCTGCATTTATTGACGGAAGAGAGATACGATAAAGTACGCAGGCGTTTCACGAAGGGACTAACAACTATTTTAGACGTTGAAGGCTGAAAAGAAGATTTGAATTTCAATCCCTTTCGTTTGTACATTTTGTCAAGTACTATGCTATCATTTCAGTCAAATATGGAAGGCATCAAGACCAGCTGACAAATGTGCAGCGTGACAACGTTTGACATTGAGCTCGCATTTTCTCGCACAATCACTGTCGTTACATTGCGAGAAATTAGTCTTACACTATCATAATCTTTAGCGGTCCAAAATTCATCACAAGACTTTCCATAACAACACCTGCTTTGTATTTTGTGGCGACCAAGCCGAAGCTAGTTTGTACCTTAGTGTTGGAGTACCTTGCCAAGGGACGTTTTTCTTTGAACCTTGTAATTGATCTCGACATTAACATAATTTCGTCACTCTATTACTGAAACTAGCAGTTCTCATTTGCATTATGCGTATTACTACTCTGTTATTCAAAGTGCTGCACAAACTTTTTAAAACTAATAAATTAATCATGTAAAAATGTGACATTCTAAGCAAAATCGAGAATAATACAATTATAGAGAAAACAGAAATGTGACAGTCGTTTCACCCTTGTCATTGACGACTATCACCATTTACTGATAATGAAGAACAAATCATCTGCGCAAAGTGCATGTCTTCAACCTGCATGGTCTTATATTGTCCGCTCGCATCCGCCAGTAATCGCGCTACCATGTGCTTGCACTGCATTTACACTACCGTCAGTTCAACTCACATCAAACTTTCTACCTTATAAATTGTACCATTGCTGTTGGATGGGTTTTGACTGTGGTCATGTGAAATGCTGCGCATGTGCAGTAGTGACTGAAACAATTGTAATAACTGGCGCCGTTGCCGCTAATTATTGAATTATCAACTGGTTGTGATATGCTGCTTACTGATATGTCAGCGTCTTGCTGGGCATCTCTTCGCTTGTACTTATTAAGCGATTCGACACGGTAGAAAGCGCGCATGGACGGAGTGGACGTAATCTTCACCACAAGATCTCTCGCCATCAGCTCACTAGCTGCCTGTATCAGATGCAGATCCTCCTGAGGCAAAGAAGCAAGCATTTCACCGTGCGCATCTGTAAATTGTTTCGTTGTGCTTTGCTTCACTTCTAGCGCCACTAGAGTCAACACACTAACGCCTATCACTGTACTCATGCTGTAATGAATACCTGCAATGTATAATAATATCGGAATTTCTAGAGTAAGTAATTTCTTTCTTAGACTTAGTATGAGTACAATAACTCTGATGTAGCCACTAAATCTGTCCTTCCTATGGCTCAACAGACATAGATATGGACGGTATGACTGCAGCAGCACATTTTGGACGAAGGGTTTTGACCGCTCGCTCTACTTCTGACGCAAGATGTTTACAGTCTATCTGCACTATCGCTGTACATAGAGCGTGCCTTGCCGACTACAAGAAGCTTACGCAAGGTGTTCGATTACTTGAAGAGTTCTACGTCAAACTAGCTCGATGTGCAATTAAAGGCAACTTAAAGACGTCGCGCCATCTAATTCTTGAGGCTAAAATGTTCGACCACAGAGCATGTCTACAATAAGCCCGTAAATCAATTGATTGCTTGAACAGGCACTAGGCGATGCATCGATTGGTCAAAGCGATCGTGAAGTTGCGGTCAAGACTCAGCATCCGGATGCCGAGACCTTTTTCTCACTCGGATATCAATACGATCCACGGCTTAATCGGTTTCCTGACCAGTACTTTTACCATTTCGTGTGAAAGTGATACAGCAACTAACGAGAAAGCTTATCGACACTCACGAAGTCAGGGATTAACATGGTGTAAATAGGATTGCTACGAAATTGTATGGTGTAAAGTGACGATTCCAGAATCGAGGATTGAGATGTGTATGAAGAACTTATTAGATATGAAACTTTTTAAGATATAACATAGCGTTCAGGACAACGACAGTGACAGCTAAAAAGCAGGAGCAGAAATGGAAGGACAAAGAGTGCGACGCATAAAGACTGGAAGAGAAGTTCTTCTCCCTCTTCGTGGGTGAACGAGTATGTCATCGCTATTAGCATTGGCTGGGGGTATTGAATGCCAGAAAATATATTGTATAGACTTCAAGGTTGTATTATGTACATTACATCATTCTATTCTGTCAGTTTAAATCAGTATTGCGCCACCGATTCACATGAGTGACAACCAGACTAAAGACACGTCCGGTCCGCTAGCTGAGACTCCACAAGGCTGGAACTGGTTAGGTCTATCCCAGACAATCCGTAATAACAACACTGCCAAATTAAACCGATCTGCTTCCGTCCACAATCATCGCAATACAGCGCCGTCGAATAACAAGTCCAAACGACCATTACTACATAATGAACTCTTAACTTATACACAACTGAAGCATACAAAACCCAAAACAATATTTACCGCCACCGATCGCAAACAGTCTGTGAAAATTAATACTGAAGTGGTGGAAGAGTTCTCAGCACTGCGTATCACGAATCGAACCATTTCAGCTGAAGTGCTACGCGAGGAAATGGAAGGACGTAAGTTTATTAAGCTGTCGCTGATGGATTGCGCACCCAAGGAGACATTTACCAATAAAGAGGTACCGTGTGTATTTGAATTTTGAAGTTGTATATCAAAAACTTTTGCTAATAAATTTGACTTCAATGTAGGTCGATTGGGTAACAATTGGCGTCCTGGTTAGAAAAACGCTGTCCAAACCAGCAACTAATGGGTCGACATTCATGGTGTGGGCCTTGTCAGACTTAGATGGGACGGAGTTGGGTATTTTTCTCTTTGGTGACGCTTATGTGACCCACTGGAAAGAATCAACAGGATCCATCGTAGCAATTTTAAACGCAACGCTTTTACCTGCTTCCGAGAAGAATAAATTTGCATTTAAAGTAACTCAGCCGACGGAAATTGTCACACTTGGAAAAGCGATGGATTTTGGTATTTGTAAGGGAAAAACATCAGGAGAAGCTCGTTGTCGTCTTGCAATCAACAAGGCAAAGGTAGAGATAGTCCATTGTTTTCAAAGTTTGATCTGCTCAGGTTTTCGTTCTCTTTTCTTGTAGACTCAGTATTGTTTGCATCATATTGCTGTGAATTTTATGGAGGCTGGAAAAGGCCGACAACAGCTTAACAACTCGACGGGGTCTTTGCGCAAATCATTGTTTGCTGGGCTTTCAAAGCCGAAAAATCTGTCGGCCGGTGTATATTCATCAGCTTCTTCAAATTCAGGCAATTCACGATGGGATCAGAATATTTCAAGGAAACGCAAACGAAATGACACAACCACTGGAGGTTTGATTGTACCCACTGTTATTGTGGCATCGGGTGCTGTTGTGCAACAGAGAGATAAGCAGTTTGATCATTTTGTCAAGGTTCGGGGCGAAAATCAACAGAGTTCTTTAAGCTTAATGGATCAACTCCGACAACCACCTTCGTCAATGAAGTCAAAGCGTGTGCGATTGATAGAAGGATCAGCATCTGCTAGGGTCCCCTCCAGCCGAGCTCAGAAAATTGTGTCAGTTTGGCTCCGATCCACTATTTCCACTATTCAGGTGCACTAAGTCTTGCTTCTATGCCTTGTAGGTCCGCGTTTCTTTCTGGAGACAAAAAACCGCTGGCGCGATCACACGTAAAGAAGGTCAACATGATGCAGTTCATGAACTCGGGAATTCAGTCGGAAAAGTAGTCGAGATTTGGCGATGCTGCTGAAAGCAGGTAAGAGTGAGATGTGTACGTATAGCATAGTGTTTCTCAATAAATAAATAATGGTCAGAAGTCCGACAAAAGTTATTTCGATCGCTTGATCAGCAGATCTGTGATATTTCCAGTGGATCCACCATTTATAATCTCGACTATGAAATCTAGCACTTCAGTGACTCGAGTGTACGTACCAGGCAAAACGCCGCAACTTTCCGGTCCACAACTTACAATGCCTACGATGGCATCATCTACAATCAAAGGTCCTCCCGAGTCTCCGTAGCATGAATCCACATTCTTGCCATGACCGGCGCAAAGGACCGACTCGTCCACTATTGTGTCATCCGCCGCGTTCGTGTATTGTTTGGTACACTCGTCATTTGTAATTACTTCAACATCAGCAGATTGGAGGATGTCGGCAAATGTCTCATTGTCCATTCGGCCCCAGCCGAGCACTGTAGCCATCTGACCAGGTTTGTTATCTGATCCATCTGATGCAGCTAATCGCGCAGGTTGAAGGTTGGATGGGGACTCTAGTTTAAGTACCGCCACATCATGCGTTACAGTTTCTATGTCGGGTTGTAATACGTATAATGGGTGTCGATACGCTGCCACGACACGTTTCATTTCGGACATTTGAGTGCCTCCACCCGAACTAAATTTTGACCCAAGCGAGACATAAATATCGTGCATGGCGATCTCCATACAATGTCCAGCAGTAAGAATGTACTGAGGTGCGATCAAAGTGCCACCACAAAACAGTATAGAGTTCGAATCATTGACATGAAGACCGGCAGTGTACAGGAAGTTGGTAAAGTTTGCATTCAAACCACCGTATATGCGACTTTCGGTCTCGGATGTCAATGCTATCGTAAATTTGGGATATGTGATGAGAATCGCAAGAGTCGAGAGCAAAACGACTTGTACGAGCTGCATTGTTGGTTAATCAGGAAGTTATAAACAGCTCGAAAACTGGTGATTGCGTGCATACAAAGTAACGGGATGCATATGGTTTTTGAAAGATGCTGACTCCATTCTGGCTATGAGAAACACGGTATTTCTATATAAGAAATGACAATGGGTGAAAGTAAAGTTGCATTGATTCTAGTTTCTCGTGCTCAAGGTGATAACACTTGTTAGAGCGTATAGACTTAGACATTGTCGTTTCGTGTTGCTTGTATGGAGTTTTTTGCTCATGGTGGTCGAATAACTACTTTATCAGATCTAAATATTTTGGATTGATGTAATTTTTGTGCTATGAAAAGCCAGTATCTTGCGAGGCTCGCTGTGCCATGTGTTGAGGTTAAGGTTTGCAATAAGGTGCGGTTGTCACTGTTACGAGTGCACATTAAATAATCGCGTGTTATTCTCGATGCTTGTCGAGACCACATACTGCTCACGCCAGTGTCATGATAATGTTAGACGTATCAAAAATACAGGGGAATACCATATTATAGTGTTCACAAACATTACACTATTTCCCCCCTGTTTTAAATCAAAGCTCAGAGGTGTACACTAACGACATAAGGCATTATTAACGAAGATCGAAAGCTGATATATTTAGTATCAGTGTAAGCTAAAATATGCCACACTTGCATTTACTCGGTGGGGAACTGGAATAAATTGGGCTCCATTGTTTCTGGTATGGTCAACGTCATTGCGGTACAGAGCTACTCGCTCAAAGAGAGAAGGGTATCACGGCCTACTGTCAACATCAACTTACTATGTTTTGTAAAGCCATGGATGGTGCGGATAGGCTCAGAAACTTTGTGCTCATAAACGCGACTGACGAAACAGATTCAGTGCGCAGACGCCAACTTTGGGTATTGTATCCGTAAGTTTGCAACGAGACCATAGGTTGGAATTTAACCGATTACTCTTGAGTACGAGATTCACCTGTTTTCCGTCAAGACGTACGTACTAATAAAATTGTAGTATGATAGATAGTAGAACGAGTAAAATAGTTCGAGTAAATTTAATCGCAAAAAGGCCACACTTGGAGATCGCATTAATATCTTAGTCACAGAAGAGTTTTTTTTCGGTAGGGCGTACAAAACTAACTTCTTCACATTTATTAGGTAACTATGTCAACAGCGGACGATCCGCAGACCGATAGTCAGACTGAGCGCGTGTATCGCATCGTTCAAGACGTTCTTTCGCAGCGTCTGCGCTGAGACGCCGAAGCGCTGGAGCGCGATGTTGCCACTTGTAGAGTTTTCTCTTAAAAAAGCAGTGCATTCATCCACCAGCTACACGCCGTTCTACGTGAACGGGCCTGTTCATCTTCGCTTCCCGCTGACATCGCCATTCCATCGGCTCATTCCTTGGTGGGGGGAGGAACAGTCGAGCCGCTAGCTAATATCAGCCTCCTTGCCGTGCGTAAAGAAGTCGGAGGCTTCCTTCTACTAGATTGAGTGTTTTACGACACATTCGCGATGCGATAGCTGAAAGCCAAGACATGCAGAGGGAATATCCAGAAGAAGAAGTGTTGAAAAAATCGAGGTCGGAGACCTGGCTTTATTGCTAAAATGCCTCTACGCATGCAGTTTCTGCTGTCTTTAAGAGTCCACAATTTACTGGGCCTTTAAGGTCGTGACTAAGCGAGGCCTAACGTATTCGCTGAACCTTCCGAGAAGGATGCACCCACCCGGTGTTTTTGTGTTGGTTTGCTTAAGCTGTACTGGTATCCGGCTCAAGTGAATGCGGAAGCGTTGGCACCGGGGCGGCGCCCAAAGGCCCTCGGCCCCCTATTGAACCAGCAACTATATTTGAGTACGGAGTGCAACAACTTTCGTCTCCGACGGCACAAAGTGCTCTACCGTCGCACGAACTGATGCCTTCGCCTGCTTGACGGCTAGGAGCCGCTCCGATAGAGCGCGATAATCCGCCATTGAGGCAGTCGGTGCACAAAGTTCTCCAGGCTCTCGAGGTCTTCCGCACAGCGGTAGGCGACCTCGAAGAGATACTTGACAGAGTGCCGATGACGACGAACCTTGTCCTTCAATGCTCGAAGAGCATCGCGAGTTACCGGACGGCGATCGACCAATTCGTCATCGCCCAACGCCGACTCTTCTCGATGAGAATGGTGGCGTTCACTTCCACCTGGAACGCCTTGTTAGTCGTCGACGGGTTTAACCTAATATCTTGTGAAGTGGCGGGGATACCCAAACTCCTAGATCTCGTAGGGGTTTGAGGTGCCATTTCGGCAAGACTTCCCAGACGTCATTGACGCTTATGATCAGAAGGATCATTACGCTTCGCATCGTCGTGCGCCATGCGCTTCTCGGCTGTAGCCTGGGAAGACGAAGAACCATGAGCTGAGATCAAGCTATGAGCCCCAGCTGCTCTTGTCGTAGACTCACCCGTGTGAGAAACCACAGAGATCGCCGAAGCATTATGAATTGTTCCATATGTCGCAGGGTGACAATACGCAGGAAGTTGGCGTTGCGCCTTGAGTTTGGCAAACTCAAGTCTAGTAAGATGGTTCAAAGGGCACGTTCACTTCCTTGTTGCTTCGCTGTAAGGTAGAAAGCAAAGAAAGTTTCTGGTGCCGCTGCACCTATCACTCGAAGATCTCATCGTCATCTGCAGAGGTTTCGCCAGGGGCGAGCACCACAGGGATGGCCCCCATTGCGGGAACAGGAGCACCTCCTTTTGAGCTCGGAGTTGAGTGCGGTACCGATCCATTGGGATCTGTTGTGGTACAGAAAACGAGCTCACAGAGCTTTCTGCTGATCAAGCTCAGCTTGTGTTGTGGTCGGAGACCCGACTTTTGCGTCTTTTGCTTCAGTAGCAAGATCCGTCGAGCTAAAGTTGGATTCTACACAAGGCTCCATGACTGATCATGGAAACGAGCGCAGAAAAGTTCACTGTGAGCAGCCTCCAATTGCTGCTCCTGGGCCTTGTCGAGGCGATCGGTAATACTGCAACTTCCCCCGGAAGTCGAGAGATCGAGGAGCGGACATGGTGTCCGCAAGGTTTGAGCTGGTCTCACATCGCGCCCTTGGCGCATTTCATCTTCCTCGGCATATCAGGCTGGGAAATGAGTGTCTGATTCGTAGCTGACTTACTTCAGCTTCTCGACAAGGAAATCCGTCGTTCGGGGTTGACGCGTTGTGTTGCTTTTCTTAATTAATATAGTAATGCCTAATTAATAAAGTATAACCTAAATGTTATAGTAATATGCACTACCACTGGCAATCCTGCCACGTGGTGGATTCTTGTTACGGTGTAGCCACACCACTGTGTGATTACACTAACTTGTTTAACACACACCTATGTAGGGTTGCGCAAGATTGTACGAATCGCCCTTTTATACAAGAATACGTGTAACCCGTTAACCTCTCCCCCAGAAGAGTTGTGAATGTCTTCACTTCACGTTTAACGGTTGCCTTATACGAGACTCGCGTGCCCGAGACACCTTAAGAACAACTTTAAACCTCTCCGCTCTGTCAGCCTGTGCCTACGTCACGCAAAACACACTACCTATCTGGAAGCGTGAGAGCACGAGGGCACAGCTCTTCTTCTTCCTCCGCGCAGGGTGCACCTCCGGACTGTACGTCCGCGACTTCACGAGAAGCAAATTCCAAGCCCTCGGATCCGAGTCCTACTGCTTCAGATATTGGCGGCTCTGCCGCAACTGAAACAATTACATACAATCTCAATTTTGAACGGAAGAGTCCCTTTATCTTACTTAGGTTTTCAGTAGCCTTGGAGGCCGCGGATTGCGATCCGCGGCACTCGTACTGGTTCTTGGAAAGAACGAAAGGTCGGTGACCTTAGCTTTGCATCCCTCAACCATAAAGCTACGGCAGCCCCGCTGCATCACCAATCCCGACAGTTCTTCGGTCAAGAGGCTGCGACAAAAGCCACTCTTACACGTCTACTCATGATCACGACTCTAAGATTTGAAATAGGCAGTCGCCTTTGTTCGTTCCTCGAGAACCAAAAGTTTGTGGACTCATGTATACATACAACCGTAACCAGGCATCTCACGGAAAATTCAGCGACATATCGCCTCTAATACATCAGAAGTACTGCTTACGATTGAACCTGGCGTCTATTGTTGCCATTGTTTCTCTAATAGTGCAGGTTAAGGCAGTGGTATAGACTGCATGCATTAATTTGAGCATTGAATGACGAAGACTGATCACCTGACAATGTTGCGGCTTTGCAAGTAATTGTCGAAACAAACAGATGCTGAGCTGAACTATCACTTAATCCTATTTTTGTGAAATTGACAGCTCAACAAGAACACATTCTGTGTAACTTTGAAAATTTACGAAAGATTTTGTGTTATTCTTCATATTGAGAATATTCACGCTATACGGGGTGATTATTCCTTTAAATCTGATATGTCGTTTATTCTGAGCGATATTCTTTTCTTGATGCGACCTTATCGTCCGTAAAAATAACTTGATTACCTTTAATATTCGTACGGACGAGAACAAACAGATTGAGAGGCGGTGCTTGATAAACTCATTTTTCGCCAAGAAACTCAAAAATTTTCTTAGTCATTCAGAAGTGATATCTCTCCTTGCAAGAACAATGATATATCAATGTGGACATGTTAAACTAAAATGCTGAAGTACTTCACTTCGAACGAAGAAACATCTAAAATAGAATACCAAATTTTTGAGCTTATCATAAATAACTATCTTGTGATTAATCTGAAAATGAGGATAACACCAAAATACTTGATGGTAGCCAGCGAACCAGGTTCACACTTTACATATCCATGGGTGTGGCCTCCTCTTTAGGTTTCGGCTTTGATTTCAAATTGCGTTATAATCTCAATAGCTGAATAATAGACATATCAGATTTGAAGGAATAATCACATCGTAAGTGTGAATATTTTCAATAAGAAGAATAACATCTGAATTTGACTCGCTAAATTTTATGTAAATTTTCAAAGCGAGCTTTGTGAGCTATTTAGCCGACTAGTATTTATTCGGAATAGTCAAGTACACAGAATATATTTCTGCTATAGAATGTTGTCTAGCTGATCCGCAAATGATGCTTTCAGCTAGCTCATCTGAAAGCAATTATTCACTAAAAATTAATGATCTGGATACTATGAAAGATTGATGTCAAGCAAGGTATATCGCGAGCTAAAAGTTTTGTTTTGTTTATATACATCAGTCGTTGGTATTCGTTAGATAGTTCGTCTACCAAGTTTTTCTTTTATTGGAAAAGCTTATTGCCGATCTTAAATATATTGA